GCCCTGGGACTCTGCCCGCTGCCGGGTGGGCTCTGGCCATCTCCCACAACACCTCCTCTAGCCTGCACCGCGCCGTCGCAGCCTCGGTGCAGCAGCGGCAGCTGGTACAGAGCTATAGAGCCCTGGGGTCGGGTGGGGGACGGGGGAGCACAGCCTGGCCATCGAGTTACAGGGGACACGTTTCACCTCCAACCCGCCCCTACCAGCTGCAGCATATCCAGGCCACGGCAAGCTCCACGGGAATCCAGGCCCAGGAGACATGGCGTCGTGCAAGGGGTGCCCGGGGTGTGGCCACCCTGGCCCCTGTGCAGGCAACTGTGCATAGAATCCAGCGTTTCCTCCTGGGTACATGTCTGCTTGTGCGTCTGTTCCCAGCCGAGGGCGAGGCAGGGCGTTCAGGTCACTGCTGTGACACTCCTTCCAGAATGAGGACTACCCAGAGGGCTGAGGCTGATGGGTCGGGTGGGGCAGGGGTGTGAGGGGGCAGGGGTGCTGGGGATGCTGAGGGCTGGCTGTGGGTCTGGGGAGCTGATGGAGTGCTTGTCAGTGTCCCTGGTGTGAGTGACCCACCACCGCGGATGGCAGTCTACCTACCATCTGTTTATTATTTTAAATTATTATTATTATTATTTAATATATTTTATTGATTTTTTTACAGAGAGGAAGGGAGAGGGATAGAGAGTTAAAAACATTGATGAGAGAGAAACATCGATCAGCTGCCTCCTGCACACTCCCTACCGGGGCTGTGCCCGCAACCAAGGTACATGCCCTTGACCGGAATCGAACCTGGGACCCCTCAGTCCACAGGCTGACGCTCTATCCACTGATCCACACCGGTTAGTGCTATTACTTTTATTTTTTATTGATTTCAGAGAAAAAGGGAGAGGGGGAGAGAGATGACATCAATGATGAGAGAGAATCATTGATCGGCTGCCCCCTGGACGCCCCACACTGGGGATGGAACCCCCATCCCAGGCATATGCCCTGACCTCCTGGTTCATAGGCCGACGGTCAACCACTGAGCCACCCACTGGGATGCCTGCCATTTAACAACTGATTCACAAAATTCCCGCAAATGTCATACTTGCCTGTTGTTAGCCTCTAGCATATGGTGCAGTCATGTCAGAGTGTGTGAGATGTTGGGGTCAGGGTCTGTGGGGTCAGGGATCAGAGTTCAACACCAACATCCCCACAGTGACCCCCACAGATGAAGGTGCGGATGCTGTGAGTGTGGAGCTGGCGGCAGGGCGAGGGCTGGCAGTGCCCCGCCCCCAGGGTGAGGCCGTGGGCATCGCCCTCCTGCTGGATGAGGCCCAGAGGGCCCTCCCTGCACCGGGCACTGGAGACCAGGAGCTGCCCACGGCTGACCGTGTCCTCCACCAGGCACAGCAGACCAGGTGAAGGGCCAGGATCTGGAGGTGGCGGCCAGAGGGTGGGGGAAGGGCTGCCCTCTGATCACCTGTACCTTTCAGGGAAGGTACCGCCAGGGCCCAGGGCTGAGCGCGGGGCGTTCAGGGGGTGCTGGCTGAGGCGGGAGCTCACACCAGGGCTACAGAGCAAGGGCTGCAGGCGGCCAGATGGACACTTGGAGGCCTGGAGGCCAGTGGACAAAAGGTGATACCCCACTGTACCCCTCGGCACCTCTTGTTCAGGGGCCACTGGTCCCATTGTCCCCGCGAGGTCCTTGACCCCCATGATACCAGGAAGCTACCAAACACCCTGACCATGTGAACACTACACTGAGTTGCTGCCCTGCTGTGACCTCCCTGTGACCCCCTGACCTTTGCCCCAGGTGGCGGGGCGCCTGGCCCAGATGACACTGGCAGCGGATGTGACCCCGGCCCCGGGGCTTCTGTCCAGTGCAGCTGTGGCTCTCAGGACCCGTGTGGCCCTGTGCCAGCGGCAGGCCCAGGAGGCAGAAGAGCGGGCAGCGCATGCCCTGGGCTTGGCTGGGGGCCTGGGCAAGGTGAGACGGGAGCAGTGGACATTGGGGTGTCAGGGACCCCCGGCACAGTGTGACGTGGGGTTTGGGCTGGGACCGGGCTTTGCTGGGCTTTGCTGGGGGGGGTCTCAGCTCTAAAACCCCCGCGCCCCGGGGACGGGGGCGGCCGTGCGTCTGGGTCTCGGTGGGGGCGTTCAGGCCCGGCCCTGCTCCAGGAGCTGCAGGCGGCCCGGGCAGGTGTGGAGTTGCAGGAGGGCACGCGCTGCCGGTGGCCACAGTGCGGGACACAGAGGAGAGGGTGCGGCGGACACGCACCGAGGCCCGGGAGCTGCTGACATGGGTGCAAGCCCGCTGGAGCTGCCTGGAGGGTGCGTGTCGGGCCGTCGTGGGTGGGCCGGGGTGAAGTCAGGGTCAGATTCATCTAGTGACGAGGGCTGGGTCAACGTTCAGAACAGGAGGTCACATGTAGATCAGCGTTAGAACTTTTAGGGATGGGGCCCGGTGTCAGGGTCATGGCAGAGACGGGCAGAGCGGGAGACTAGGGCCAGCGCCCCAGGGCTGGAGCGCCGCCTGGTGCAGAATAAGCAGACCCTGGGCAAGAAGGTGGCCACGCTCTGGGCCCTGGAGCAGCAGGCAGCAGCGCGTCTGGAGCACCTGCGGCTGCCGGCACCGCCCACGCCACCTGCTGACGGCCTCCTGGATGCCAAGGGGGGCGCTCTGGGCCTGCCTGGGGGACTCAAGGGGCTGCGGCACCACTGGGTGACCCTCATGTGACCCCTGATGTCCTCAGCGGCCCTCTGCCCGGGAGAAACCTGAGAGACCATGGAAAATCCCCGAGGCCATCGAGGCCCCTGCCCCTGACCGATCCGTGGTCACCTTAGTGTCCGGGTCCCCAGGTTGGCTCCGGGGATGCCAGGAGGTGGGAGACCCCTGGTCCAGACTGACTGGCCTCCAGCCCAGACTCCCCTGGGAAAGCCTGGGGGTCCCCCTGAGAACCCCAGCTTTCTTTCCTGGACCCCCAGCTCCGGGTGTTGTCCCCGGCCCCTGACCCCCGCTCCCGGCCCTCCCCATCTGGCCCTCAGAGCCCCCCGGGGAGCTGAGGTCCCAGTCCGGTCCCTGGAGCCTGGGTGGGGCAGCTCGAAGCGCATTCCAGCCGAATTCAGCTCCCGGCAAGCTGGAAGGTCCGGAGCGGATGCGCGGCCCTAAGATCTGGACCGCGCACTGCTTCCCCGGTCGGTCTGTTGTGGCCACCAGCACCCATTTCCCTGCGACGGAGACTGCACTTCCCGTGCAACCTGCGTCAGTGGCCAGGGTGCCGGAGGCCCTGGAGCCAGGGCCTCTCCCCCACCCGCCCCCTCCGGCCCGCACCCTAAGCTGCCCACCGTCCTGAACCGGGCGCTGGACGCCCTCCGCTCTCCACTGAAGCTGGAGCCCTGCATCCCAAGGCCTAGTTGCTGTTGACCTCCACCTCGGTGGCCGTGACCCTGAGGGGCCGTTTGAAGTCTCACAGATCTCATGTTCAGTCCCGGACCTGACCAAGTGGACACTCAGCCGGCCCCCCACGGGCAGGGTCAGCAGGGGCCTCGGGGGAGGGTGCGGGCGGCTCGGCCTCAGGCCTCTCACACCGATGCCCCTGCTCCCCAGGATGGAGTGGGCCGCAGGGAGCCGAGGCGGGGACCCGCGGGGACCGC